CCCCAAGTCAACCAAAATAAAGGAGATTAGCCACTCATGGCAACAAGATACTTTCCAAAAAGTGTTTTTGGCTTATGAAACTAGTAATTATTATTATTATTATCATCATCATCATCATCATCATCATCATCATCATCATCAGTTTTTTAAAAATCATGATTTGGTCCCAATTAATCTCTGATTAGTCCTTACGCACTACCCAACCAAGTAAAATGTGTCTAACGATTATTTACTTCATAAATAATGAGTGAAATAGTAGCAAACGATGTAATTTTAACACTTTGAAGAAAATATATCTCAATAGCAATTATTTGATGAATGACTATTATTGTATTAATCATATTAACTTATTTTGATATGTAATAGTTCTATTTACGAACTTTGCTATGATATTTTTTATATTTAATTTTTTAAAATTCAACAAATTAGCAATTTAGGATTTCTGATTAATCCCCCGATTAATCTCCGCCTAGTCGATTAATCTCTTCACCTGAGTCCACCGACTAACTAACGTCGAACGTTTTCTACAACCTTGATTATTATTATTATTATTATTATTATTATTATTATTATATTAAAGTTATGAAAAATTTTAACAGTAAACTACTCTTTTTTTTTTGTCAATTTTGGTCAATTGTTTGAATTAATATTACAACATTGACTATTCACTTTTATGCCTTTGTTCACAAACAACCCTTTCACTTTGGTTTGAGTTTTTCATAACCCTCGCTTTTTATTACATATTATTAGTATTTAGTAATATTAATATTTTTTTTGGCCGAAATGGTCCCTCAACTATATTTTGGTCATTTTAAAGTTGCTTCATTTTTGTCTTTTTTGGTCCCTCTACTTCCGTTGGTTATTTGTGGCATTATAGGTTCCTATGTTTCTGTTTAATTGTCACTTTATTAGTTGGTATTATTATTATTATTATTATTATTATTATTATTATTATTATTATTATTATTATTATTATTATTATTATTGTTGTTGTTGTTGTTGTTGTTGTTGTTGTTAGACAAAATTACACGATTGGTCTCTGTGGTTTATCAGATTTATCACATTGATGACAACGATGGAAAACGAAATTACTCTTTTACTCCTAATCCGAATTTTTTTTATTAATTTATATTTCTCTTTTTGGTTTTAAATTAATGTTTTATTTATTAAAAAATGTCCATCCAATACCATAAAGCCACCCACCATCTGCCATCACCACCACCACCACTGCCAAAATTACATTAATGGTCCATATGGTTTACCCGTGGTCACAAATTCAGTCCCTACTACCTAATAAGACCAAATTACCTTCACATTAATAGACAAAAACCAACGGTCTATATTTTCCAAATTGGTTTTCCGGCCGCTGCCATACATTGCAATAAAGTTCAATTTGTGAGACCAATTATTTATTTTCCTCATTTATTGCAAAAAATAATGATTTATATTTCCTTACTTATGTAATTAGATGACATTGTTTATCTTCCTTTATTAAATTATCTCAATGCAATTCAACATGCTACTTTACTTTACAAAGCAATACCTTTCGACCTCGGCAACGCCGACGAATCATTTCTAGTTATTATTAAAGTTTTGAAGGAAAGAAATAGTAAACATCAACTTTCTGGTCAATTTCGGCCCTTCTACTTATATATATTAAAATTTTCGGTCCTTCTACTTACTAGCTTGTTTTTTAATATATATTTTATTAAGGGTATTAAAGGTTTGTATGTTTTTTACATTTTTTTTTTTGGCAATATTGGTCCTGCACTTTGCTCTTTCTTTTTTACTTATTTTAACATTAAGTTTGGTCACAAAATTTTAACGGTTTGACAACTTTGATCCCTTTTCTAAAAATTTGCTAATTACTACCTCTTTAAATCTTTATCTATTTTGACACTTCTGATCATTGCAGTCAAAACTTTTACATTTTTTCATAAAAACATAAAAAACATGGTCTGGGGCAAAGCCCGAGCTTTTCATTCTTGTACTTTCTATGTCTGTCATATTTATCGATTCGGAAACAACATTGAAAATTTTTAGCCCCCGCGTAACGTGGGTAACCTTTCTAGTTATTATTATTAGACAAAACTTCAAGAATGGTCCCTGTGGTTTTTGAAAATATCAAGTTGAGTCCGTAACTTCAAACAACCTCATAGATGGTCCCTGTGGTTTCAAAACTTTTAACATTTGGTCCTTCCGGCTCACTCCATTAGCATTTCATCGTTAAGTAAGGGGTATTTTTGTCATTTCATTACCCAGGGACCATTTATGAGGTTTTCTATTATTTAAAAAAAAAACAAAAAATACATAAAACTTAATATGCAAGGGTCCCACCCTATCTCTCTCTCTCTCTCTCTCTCTCACATTAAAAAAACATCTTCAGGTCCTTTTCGAGACCCATAAGTGTGTCGAATGTGTATGGGTGTGATGTTGAAAATCGAATTGTGTTCAAGCCCATAAGTCGAGATCTGAAAATCGATACCCATAAACGAGTTTGTTCTAGTTCTTGAAACAAAAACATGAAGATGAAGGGTCTATTCGTTAGAACCCATAACATGAAAATCGTTAGAATCCAGATGAAGATTTTGGCCATAGCTGTCACTCTTGTTCCCGTTTTGATCCAATTGTAATTACTAGAATCAAATTTCGGAATATTTACCTTCTGATCTTCTTGTTGAAAGGTCTTCAAGGATTTAATCCTTGGTAAGTTGAAGAACCTGTCTTCAATCTACAACAATGATTCAAGAACTTCTCGAGCTGAGATTTTTAGAAACAAAAAAATAGATTAATCGGACTCACCCAATCATCCAACCCTTGGATCTCGGCATTAGAATTAGTCGACGATGAACATTAGAATCGACCCACAAAAACAAACCTACAATCATAGGTACCGACCACCACCATTCTCCCCGGAGAATCAGGATAGCATAGAACAGATGGTCCCTAACTTTTCTTTACAGTCTCACTGGGGAAGACAGTCTTGCCGCCTCACTCAAATCGATCTTCAAACATGAAATTAGAAAACCTTGTATCAAATCCCTCTCCAAGAAGTCAGACCAAAACATGAAATTAAATGAATCCAACAATGGTGGTGATAGCTCCCCTCCAGAAATTAATACCTCAACTCAAATTGAATATGTAGCATCGCCTCAACAATGGTGTGTGTTCATAGTCTTGGATGCGATAGAGGAAGAAAAGACCAAGATTCCCCGATCCCACAAGGTGTACAAGCTTAAGGTGACTAAGATGGAGATTCCCGTTAGAGGAAAGGTTGGTGGCAGCTTTAATGGTGGACCAATTGGCATCAAATTTCCGGTGAGGGCAAGAATGGAGGTTAGGTACAGCAGTGGAAGAAGTGGAGGCGGTGAAGAGGAGAGACAAATGTATTCATTAAAGCTTAGACATAAGCTGAAACGAGAGAGAGAGAGAGAGAGAGAGAGAGAGAGAGAGAGAGAGAGAGAAAGAGAGAGACCCCTTGCATATTTAGTTTTATTTATTTTTTGTTTTTTTTAAATAATAGAAAACCTCATAAATGGTCCATGGGTAATGAAATGACAAAAATGCCCCTTACTTAACGGTGAAATGCTAACGGAGTGAGCCGGAAGGACCAAATGTTAAAAGTTTTGAAATCACAGGGACCATTTGTGAGGTTTTTTAAAGTTATGGACTAAACTTGATATTTTCGAAAACCACAGGGATCATTTTTGAAGTTTTGTCTTATTATTATTATTGTTGTTATTACTACTACTACTACTTACGATTATTAATTTATTTTAATTATAAAAATAAAGCTTTATTTTATTATTCATACTAATAATAATAATTGAATTAATTTGTTAGTAATACTAATAAAAATTGAATTAGTTGCTAAAAATGTGTTTATTGATCACCGGCTGAATATTGAAAAACTTCAAAATAAACGAAATGTTATTTTTTCTTTACTTATCCGTCGGTAATCACAGACTAATATCCAACGGAAACACTTTCCGTCGATGTGGGCGTTTGAGATTGTTTCTCAAAATAGCTTTTTAGCTTATCAGCTTTGTGAAACACTAATAACTTAAAAAAGTGTGTGAGTATTTAAAAATAGCTTTTGAAACATCTCTTTTGAGCTTTTTACGTAGGCAAAATATGGAGTTTTCTAAAAGCTAATGAATCCTAGATTTTCAGCTTTTTCCTAAAAGCATTTTCTAAAAACTTAGTTTTTTTCCCCCAAAATAATTAAGTCACACACTTTTTAAAACTAATTTATTTGCTTTTTAGGTTTTCTTACCATAAAAATTTAACCCAATGTGAATCTAAACACGTTCACAATATTAATCTGAATATGTTCACAATGTTAAGCTGAACTGAAATATCGTTATTATTAATATTAATATTATTATTATTTTTTAAACATGAATATAAATCTATGTTTAAAAAGTATCAAAAAATAAGAATTTTGATATATTTATTAATTTTTTTCTATAAAAAAATAAACCTTATCTTTTCAACAAAAAAAATGAAGTGAGTTTTTTTCGAAAAAAAAATTCGTTTTTTATATATATATCATCATCGATATTTATGGAAAGAAGAGGGAAAATCGTGAACAAAGGTATGTTCAGTTTTTTTCGATAAAACACATGGCCTAGAAAAAGTTTTAAATGAAAAAAAGGAAATCGATTTTGTTATAATCTAGTGCATGTGTGTCCATTGTAAAAGTCTACAACCCTTTCTTTTGCCGTTGATCGATTTAAATTTCGACGCTTTGGATTGGTGTAACATACACGTTTAGTTATCATGTATTGTAAATTATAAAAGTGAATAATATTACGAAATATTATGTGAATTTGAAAGTATTGGAAGTTACATGTTATTCATATGTGAATTACATGTGATTTATATGTGAATCACATAAAATTCATATGTGATTCATTTGTGAAATACATGTGATTTATATGTGAATCACATGTGATTCATATGTGAATCACATGTAATTCATATGTGAATTACATGTGATTTTTATTGATCGGACATGTAATTTAACTAACTGTCTAGGTTACCGTAAAGGAATTACATGTGATTCAAGAACAACAATTAATCAATAAAAAAGGAACAATTTTTAGTAACTTTTTTTTTAAATTATTTTTGAAGAAATGAATATTTTTAGTTATCTAGAAAAGTACATGCATTTTGGCTTTGAATCATAGATAACTAATAGTTAAAGACTTAAAGATATTTTAGACAAACATATTTGGTATGTAATTTGCAATCACCGAATAAACAAAGTGTGGTTAGTTGTACCTGCTGGGATGGTGTAATCCAACATTATATCGTTGTCCGTGATAATATTTCCAACTATGTGAATGCTTTCCGGTAATAATTGAGTGCAATTTCAATAGCCTATACATCAATCATAAAAGCCACATCCTGCAACAAAATACATACATACCTCCTAATTAAATTTAAATCAAACAAACACCACAAGTAATTGCATAAATAATAAATGTAAGTTGTTTGTTACCTTAGGTTCTTATTTTGTTATCCTCATAGTAAATTTAAATCAAACAAACGCAACAAAATACTATGATCTTTTACAAGCTAATAGTAAAAGATGTAAATATACTGAAAAATTGAAACGGAATCTAGCATCACCTTAAGCATGTGTCTTTCTATGATCTTTTACAAACAAATAGTTAAATATGTAAAGATACTGAAAATTTGAAAAGAGATCTAGCATCACCTTAAGTATGTCTCTTTTGACTACATTAGCATTCATCACCATTTTTTGAAGGAAATTGTTGTATGTGTGATTGTCATCAAAACCAATCTTCATACCTCCATAAGCAACTTTTCTCCATTTTCTCTTTTCTCCGTTTTCTTTGACCATTGATATCCTTCATTTCCCCAAATAACTAAATCCAATAAACAATGCAACTGTTTTAGGTTTGTATGTTCTACAGTACTCCAATGTCTATAGATATGAATGAAATCAGAAAACATGTTTGTATATATAAATATGCATAATATTAGAAAACTTTGGAGAAAAAAATGTCTTTTGGTGTTGATGGAGATGGATCTTCCAGGATCTATTAAAATGTGGGAAATTTTTTTTATATATATCAGCAAGAATAAAAGAAAAAAACAATATACTACAGTTGATAAAATTACATGTAACATAAGATTAACATGTCCTTCATTTGTTATATAAGGAAATTCACCAGTGCCACACTAAAAAAGAGCAAGACCAAGGCTCCAGATATCAGCTGGATATTAATAACTTTCATTTCTGATTCTTTCAGGTGACATGTAGGTTACAGTTCCCACTAATGTAACACACAGAAAAAAGGATCTAGGAATATTACAATCACATTTATTAATAATCGTTAGCTACATGTTGTGTTTGATACAAAATGAATAGTAGATAGCACCAAAGATAACAGAAACAAAATGCCAAACAACCTCAAGTCAGAGCAAAATTCAGCAGCAAAATAGTTGTAAAAGCATTAATGAAATAGAGATCACGCTAATTGATAAAAGATTTATGAGTCAAATATTGTCTGATACATAAAATATCATTGCATATACGACATTTTTTGACCAAATGCATATTGATGGTATATTTTAGTTTGGAATTGTGATTTATGAGGGATATAACTAAAATCAATTACATGTGTTGAAAAATGTTCTTATGTAACCTTGTATGTGACCATAACTGAAATAAGATGAACTGTTTTTATACAATTTAACAAATATTATCATTTATTTCAAGTTGCATGAATGCGTGATAAAACGGAAAATACGAAAGCACGCGCATAGACGAGAAAATTAGTTGTGTGACTAAAAAGTTTCACCAATATAATATATATATATATATATATATATATATATATATATATATATATATACGTATGTATATATATGTATTATATATATGTATGTGTTATATATATATATATATGTGTGTGTATTATATATATAGATATGTATATATGTTGAATAGTCTACAAGTTGAAAAGTCAACAAGGAAAACTCAAGACACACAACTTACACTTCCTAGCTCTACAAACAACTTGCATACACCAGCCAACTCCTTTCAAAAACACTCAAGTGAAGAAGATATTTGTTTCAATGTATGTATGTATACGTGAGTTTGTGTGTGAGTGTGTGTGTTCATTTTGTAATATTGTAACACTTCTACAAACTACAAACACTCCCAAGAACATCACAAATCTTCATCTTTCTCAAGAACAAAGACAAATCCCTGGAGCTAAATGAAGAACACCAAGATCAAACAAGAAGCCAAGTGAAGAACACCAAGATCAAACAAGAAGCTAAATGAAGAACACCATCAACCATCTTCATCTTCTTCATTGAAACTAAAGGTTTTTCATCTTCACCACCTTTGATCATCACATCATACACCACCAAACACTTTCCTTACATCAAAACACCAAAACACAACCATGAAACAACCCAAAACCTTCTGCATCAAGATCAACCACAAAACCCATCACTATTCATCATCATCTTCATAAGAAATTTCACCACCTTTACCACCTTATATCAACCTCCTTCCAACCTCTAAACAACCTTGAAAACATCCTTAAAACACCATAACACCATTACCCTAGCCAAAACATTACAAACAAAACTTACCTTCAAATCACAAAAATCCCGAAATTGACTCAGACACGAACACGCCCCGTGTTAAAAACCAAGGCAAAATCAACACGCCCCGTGTTGCCCTCTGATTGCCTTCTTCATACTTCTGAACCTCAACACGCCCCGTGTTCAGCAAGGCTAAATCAACACGCCCCGTGTCAGCATCAGCATCATGAACACGCCCCGTGTTCAGCAAGGCTAAATCAACACGCCCCGTGTCAGCATCATTCATCAAGAAAACCCTCCAAAACCCTCCTACACGACCCGTGTCACTTGTACCTTATCTTACACGACCCGTGTGCATGTTTTTACCCAAAAATACTTCAACTACAAATACATAAACCCATGTATTTTGTACCCTTTTGTAAACACTTGTTTTACATAAAATCGAGCTTTAAATGAACTTTTTGTTACTTATCCAATGCCGGATTGATCTTTGAACAAATATCGACCAGTCGCTCCAAGAGTCCCAATATCGACCAGTCCATTCAAAGAACAAATATCAACCAGTCGCTCCATGAGTCCAGTTCAGTCAATTTATTGACGAACCTACTTGATATATATTTATATATTTATATACTTTATTATAGCTTTATGTCATTTAAATAGAGTCATTTATATTATTTATAGCTTTATGTCATTTAAATACAGTCATTTATATTATTTATAGCTTTCCGTCATTTAAATACAGTCATTTATATTATTATAGCTTTTAGTCATTTACAGCTTTCATATTTATACTTATTCCGCAATTATTATTCGTTATATATATATCTATATTATATCTTAAACTGATATATTTGTCACACAGTAAATGGTAACCGAGCCTTTTGTTGTGGTGATTAGATTGTTATATTTCCAACAAATCGATATCTGAGCTGATATATAAAAGGAATAATATCCAACAATTGGTATCAGAGCTTGTGTGATTTACCTTGAAATTTTTGTCGAAAAACTTTTGGTTATAACGTTTATAAACCTTCCATAAGCTTTTCTTTAAAAATTTCATTTTAATATCACTTGTTCAAAATCCTTTCAAAAAATGTCTTTGGCAAATTACTCCAACATGAACTCTGTCTCCATTGCAAATAGCTTAGGATCTGGTTCACGGGCACCCATACTTATTCCTGAAGAGTATAATTCGTGGGTTGGCCGTATGAATCTTCATCTTAATGCTATAAATGAAGATGTCTGGAAGTGTGTAGAAGGAACATTTGTTACTCCAGAAAATATGGCTACTCTTGCTACAAATCAAGCCACTCAAGTTGAAATTACAAAAAAGTTGGAACTCCAAGCCAAAAAGGAACTTGTTTCTGGAATACCTCACAGTATTCTAAGTCAAATGGATGACATTATACTGTTAACCGCAAATCAAATTTGGGAGAATT